AGAGAAGACAGAAAAAAAATAATAACCACCGTCTTCTGTCCACCATTTTAGAGAGAGAAAAGGAATTCATCAGCTGCTCTCCTCTCTGACATCCAAATGGAAAAGGCAAGAGACCAGGCTGTTTCCTCACTGCATTAGACGTGCGAGGAAGCAGGATAGGAAGAGGGCAGGAAGCAGCCAACAAAAGGTAAGAAGAGATGCTAAACTTCCCCATGTCCTAATGCTGTTGCATTTGAATCTGAATTCTTAGAAACCTACAACCCAGCTGCGGAAAAAGGATTTTGGGAAAGCTGCGGGGGGAGGGAAGGATGGCTTTCTCAGCAGAAGTACATATCTTGCTTTGTTTTGTATTTGCATGCTTCATCCAAAGCGTTACACAACATGAAGCTTTATATAGCTATACGAGAACACACGTTCCCCACACATCCAGGGAAAAACCCCAACCACACCAAAATCTGTTCAAATCAAAAAACCTTACCCAAGTCTAACAGGACGCTAATGCAGACTGCCGACTAGATACCACAACGACAGCAACAACAAAATCATGCATTAGAAAATATTCCTTGCTTAGTTGTGAGAGAACAGCTTTCCCAAGACGATTCTGTGTAACTCCATGCCCCAAATTCACTAACATTTGTCGGATAGCCACGGCTGCTGCAGGATTCCTTTGGCAAACACTGTATCTCAGACTTTTCTCTTTCTCAATATGCTGTGATTTCCTGTGGAATGGAGAAATCATCTATACTACAAAGAGGTGCAGTAGTATCACTTTTAGAAGTAAATAATTTTATAGTAACATATAGCATAGAGAGAAATATAATACTTGGACATAGAAATTCCCGAGCAGAGAGAGATTAGAAAAGCATTCTGATAAACAAACACCATCGAAGCTTATATTTTTTACTCAGTGCAAAAAAATATTGAGTAATTCTTTGCTGTTCCTAGAAAGAATGGAATTTTGTTTCCAACAGCTGTAGTTTTCCGTAGGAATTATAATACTGTATTGAAGATTTATGTTCTTGACAAAGGCATAAAGTTATACAAACTAGGGCAGGAAAAACAGAATAGTCTTTTCCCAACGAAACAGACCCACATTATTTTTGTTAACTCTTACTAGGGCAGAAGTTTTGCTCTTCAAAACCAGGAATTCATGCTGCAGTTGATGTTCATAATGATCAAGTCTTGCAATGCCACTCTGTACAGAGTGAACTGTTTTATCACAGGTTCTTACACAAGCAAGAAACACACCCTATCATCTTGAAATCAATTAAAGTCATAAATATTTACCTCCAAAAGCACATGACTCTACATTTTCTTCTTGAGATTTTGGGGTTCCCTACCTTAAGAAAAGGTTTCCCCCAAAGCTGTGGCCACCTGACAGATCCATACTAGAGAGGAGAAAGGTGACCCTAGGCAAAAGGCTGTCCTCTGCATAAAGTGAACAAGGAAGAGGAAGGAATCCTGGGTCTCTTTGCTGCAACTACACAGGTGCAAGTGGCCCTACCTGCCTGCATATCACTCTCCTGATTCCCATGGAAAAACTATTCCTCAGGCTCTGCAGGATTAGGGTCTTCTGTGTTCTTGGAACTACAGCAGGTAACAGTATCCAGAACTATTATTTATAAGTCAGCTGACGTTCAGCAATAAAAATCAGGATATCACAGGTTTTAAAGATCATTTATTTGCAAGCAGCCAAACAGCATACTCGAGGTTGAATCCTGGGCCAATTTACACTTACAGTCTATGCTGCTCCATGAACATTACACCGAGTTACACAACTTGGGAATCAATAAATCCATTGCCTTGGAAGAATTTGCCCAAAGGCTCCCGATGAGTCAGTGTCAGTGTCTTGTCTAGGTCTCAGCCTTTGGCTTCCATTTCGTAGCTGCTCAGTCCACCAGATCATATTTACACTACACCACCAAAAATGTTTTTATTTCTGTCCTTCTGAAATTGCTGTTTGTTTGGTTCGGTTGGTTTGTTGTTTTGTTTAATTAAATTAAAAGTTTCTTAACAGTTACGGTTGTGATTTTTTTTTTTAACTGGGAACCAACAAACTAAATTTCTCAGCTGAAGCAAAGATAGAAAGCCTGATCTCTTTGAACAAAATGCACAACAATCCAAAGGCCTACGCAGAAAAATCACTGTGCACATGCCACAGTTTTTACATTCAAATAGAGAAAACCTAATAGTCTACTTTTACTGACTTTAAAAATCCTACGTGTAGTCAGTGAAAAGTGAAAGACTATAAAATGAAACCTTCCTTCAAGGAACAACTTGCCACCAGACCTTAGTCCTGCAAAAGATCTGCAAAAACTGAGGGTATTTTTCTTGAGTAAACAGAATTTTAACTGAGCATAAACAAGTGAACAGCAGGCATGTGATTTCCATAAGTATGCATGATTCAAAGGAAAAAAAGATTTAAAAATCTGGGGCCTTAAAACCAACTTTAATTTTAAAAGTTTTAGGGTCTAAAAAAAGGCAGTGTGTACGTTGCAGGCTTTTTTCACTACGAATGGTTTCTTTAAAAGAAATTGCCACTGACAAATCATCATTTATAAGAACTGTTTCAAATAAGGCAGAAGTTAAGTTATCTAGCATGGCACTAAAGAACACATTTAATTTTAAGTATGCTTATAGTTTTATTAGAGCCAATGGCTTTTTCCGTGCTTAAGGCCGAGCATATGCTCAAGTACTCTGCCGAGACAAAAGCTTACACGTTTGTTGTTCAGAATGCAAAGCGAGGCTTTTTATCCCAAACCACATTTTCTTGCATGTAATCAGCACTGATGATTGCCGCCATAGTTTCCAATTCATTCCAGGGTGCACTCAGCATTTATTAGGGCACAGATGGTGCTCTCATTCTTTGGCTTCTAAAGAACATGCCTAAATATTAAAACAAACTTGGCTATCTGCCTCTTATCCTGTTCTTATGCTCTGTATTGCCACAGTAAAAATAACAGTAACCTTTGATCTAATCTGGAAGCCTTTTCTAACTTACACACAAAATTTGGCAATCAGATTATCAAGTACAGTCAGCCCACTTGAAACTGGAGAACCCAATATGCATAAATCCAGCACGTTAGTCCACAAGCGATCAAGAACAGGAACAAGCAATCCACAAAACAATCAAAAGAACAAAAATCGGAAACAATTTTTCTAGTAACAAACTACGCGATCCTGACTGTACTCAATGGCTGTGTGCGCGTTTCTGGAACTATAAGGATTATTCAACAGCTTAACCAGCAATTAGCAAACAAACAGGCTGATTTGTAAGGCAAATAAAGAGCATTAGCATGACAGGATTTGTCATAACAGCCGAGCAAGGTCTTTTCCAACACGCTCAATACCACAAGTTTGCATTGTGCTGGGAATTTGCAGTGTTTTCCCCTACGGGCAGCACAGGACGTTTATTTCCCAAATTCTGAAAATTATTTACCCATTTCCGAGCAAGCATAAAGCAACCTCCACAGAGACCCAACAGAAAGACAAGCTGTCACGATATTCCATTAAAAATGTCCTAAGGTAAGATAATGTCAGATTTGTCCAGCAGATCTTGACAAAACGCTCTTGAACGTGCAGCTAACGGGGACGCAGGTGCATATGACGCTCAACGGGTCTTAGTCACCCATCTTCACAGGCTTTCAGTCTCACGCAAAGCACACTGACACTGGAAAAATCACACGTCATGTGCATCAAAATACATATGACCAAACTCAAGTGGGTCAGGGTGGGGGGAGGGGAGTGGGGTGGAGTGGAGGGCTTGGAGAAAGGGTAATCAAACTGCTTGGAAATGATGTTCCCAAGTGAGGACTATTTCAGTATCTCGCTGGTAACATGAGGTCAGCAGCCAGTGCATGCTGCCAGAATCTAGAGCAAGAAAGGTGCATTTTAAGCAGTCGTCTTGACTTCAAAACAGCTCAACAATTGCATGCATGGATTGGTAAAGAAATCACTTCTGCAAACATCAAGTCCAGAAGACTAGTTTTAGAAGTACATTTAAATGTCAGAAAGCCAGAGATTTGACTGAATAAAATTATATAACACCCACTAAATCGGTTAGCTTCTAAATTTGTTTTAAAACTGAGCAATGCTTAGTAATTTTGGAAGCAATGATCCTGGGTATTTGCACTCCAGTAAACATAATAAACTAAACAAATCTAAATTAGCATATGGTACTAAATCAAAGTGACATTAAAATCATAACAAAAGTAAGTAAATAAAAATTCTGTCAATATGAACAATCCAGAAACCAACCACTGTAAAACAAACATAAAACAAACAACAATCAGGTATGGATGGTGAAGAGACTGTTCTGCAGCTAGTCAAAACTACTTTTTATAGTCCATTCCCTTTGAGGTAATAGAGTCTGGGTCCTCCTGCATCCCAGCCTCTCCCAAGGCAGCCTCTCCTGCCCGTCTCCTGGTCTCCTGAAACTCAGCCCTGCTCACTCCCCAAACTTTGCAATACTTCCTGGCGTTTGGCTGGCTTCCAGGAAATTCAAGCTGTCCCCTTTTGTTGGTATCATGCTCCATATCTACACGACCCATAACTTGAAATTACTGGTACATTCAATACTTTCAAAATTACGGCTTGTGAACAAGCTTCAAACTATCAGCAACAACAATCCTGGCCTTACCTGCAGGATCTTGTACTGTCATTTCCTTACGCTTCATCATCAGCTTGTCTTTAACCCACGGGAACTCCTGTAGGGAATCCAAGAATGCATCAAAAGCCTTGGGTCCTCTGGTGGGGAGAATATCAAGGAGCATCATGGTTTTCCTCTGACTGGTGGTTTGGGATTTTATTTCTTGAACATGACTGTCTGTGAGAATCCCTTCTTGGTAGAGATACTGAATAACAACTCCATCCACCAGCACCTCTGTGCAGAGCTCCAGGCGCAGGGAGCGTAAAAGCTGCTTGTCTCTGGCATCCATCTGGCAACCTAGAGCGTGAGAAAAGGAGTAGGGAAATGCGTGAAGATTAAAATACTTCAATCTTTAACATCCAGAAGTGATGTTTGATACCTGGCAACCTTTAGAAAGAATGCCAAACTCAGAATCATCGACCTGGGAAAACTATCAATGATCCCCACCATCTTCTTTCCGCTCAGATTCCACTGTCTCACGAGCTAAAATGCAGCCATATCTGGGAGGTGTTAGACAGAAAGAGAACCTTTGGCATTGTGAAGACCAGTCCTTCACCGGAATGAAAACCAGGCCAAATAATCCCGCTCACTAACTGGTCAAGGTCCACGCTAAAGGCAGCTAAAGCAGTTGCCAGTCCTTAAAAGAGACTCTACCCCCAAAAAGTATAGGGAGATGTCACACCTGACCTCTGTTACTGATGCCTCTGACGCTATTGCTGTTGCAGCACTTTTGCTGCAGCAGTACAAAAGCAGCAGCAGGACCGGCAGATGCACCAGACAGGCAGCAGCGGCAGGGTCAGCAGGTAGCTTTGGCCTACGCGAGGCGTTCTAATTTTAGCGGGGGATGGAAACGTACCTTACGCACCAGGTCGTTCTTCCCCCTGACTCATCCTGGAAGGCTGCTCTGGAACTTGACTGACCTGATGATGAGAAACTTTCTTCCAATTTCCATCTCAAATTTATCCACCTTCTATTTATAGGCATTTGTTCTGCCAAAACTGTTCTTTAGCTTAAGTGGCTCTTCTCCCTCCCTGGTATTTACCCTTCTAATGTGTTCACAGAAAGCAATTGGATGCCCTCTGCCAGCTTCCATTTCACTTGACTAATACTCTGACTAGACAAAAGCTGGAAAAGATGCATTTTATAGCCACTCTACAGAAGAGGAATCAAGGTCCAGAGAGACCAAGCAACTCATCCAAGATCATACCGGCAGTCCGTGCCAGACCTATGAACCAAATCAAGATGTCTAGTCTAGTCCTTAACAAACATATTCCTAGGCCCATTAATGGCACTTGAAAAAGAAAATGACAGAGTAATACAATTAAATACTTTCTCATGACTAAATAATGAAGTCAAAAAACTGCAGCAGGTGTTGAGTGTGATTACCAAGAGAGTTTCTGATAATTAAACTAGAAGCTGCTGCTCGAACAGCTACACCTTCCAGAAACTGTACTTCATTCAGATTGAGGATACAAGGAGAGGCAGAGATTTTCAAAGCTTTTGTAAGAAACCTGCTAAAGTCTTTATATCATCAGAGGTGCCTACTGAGTCCCAAGGCCCCACCAAAGGTTGGGTGGTTGGCCTGGTTGTTAAAATTTAGGGCAGGCAACCAACAGAACATATAGGCACATAAATGGCATCTTGGACAGAATGCACAAGCATAGGACCATGAGAGAGAGACTGGAAAACCCCATCTGTGACACCCTCTGATAAAGCCACTTTCTGAAAACATTCCCCCCGAGTGCTGAAAGCACTGCTGGCCGGCACCTTCCCAGCAGGACTCCATCTTTCCTGGGCTACCCAGTACGTTTCTCGTATACTGAAGTGAATTTTGAGGTGCTTACCTTCTGTCTAGGGGTCATTTGGGAATCAAAAAACAGCTACCCTGGCACACGTCCTTAAAAAATGCTGGTTTGCTAAGCATAGCTCAAACATCAAACTCCATCATGGAGTGAGATGATAGTGAAAGCAGGGAGGTGGAAAAAGAGCAGGCAAGAAAGAGAACTGGATTTCCCCAATTGATTTAAGATGCTCATTTTGGACAGGTAAAGCTGAAGATTCTGGTCTCTAACACGCACTACCTTTACACTCCTGGGAGCAATCACTGGACTACACCAAAACCAGATAAAATTCAGGCAGCAGATGCCCACCATTTCTCCCTTGCAGGATTCCCTGACCGCCCCTGAGGTCATGAAGCACTTGCAGAACTGTTTCAGATACTACAAAGCTCTTGTGCTTCACATTCTGCACGGGCCACTGCGAGTCCCCGTCCAGGAGCCTCCTCTCCCATGTGCCGGGTGAGGAGCATCAACTTCTCCAGTCACTGTACGGCACTTGATGAGCTCCCCTTCTTCATGACCAAAGTGGCCAATGCTTTTCAAAAATAAGGCCATTTCTAACCATCTCAGTTTGCACCTTTGCGCACTGAAAAACACCTATCAAGCCATGAATCTGAAGGGGGAACTTCTGCTGAAAAGGGCCTTTGGCTCGCTGACAGCAGAGTGAGCACAACTGAGGTTTTAAAGCTCTTAACACCAAGGGCCCTTAACACCAGGGTCGCTGGCCCAGTAAATTTCCAGGATGGGGTGTATTGATTTTTAAGGTCTTTTTAAAGATTAAGTATTTCTTTGTGTGCGTTTACTGTGAGACAGAAGTGCCTGAGTCAAGAACTAAGCAGCAGATAGAGAAATGTATCAGGATTTTGGTGCATAACACTGTAGGGACAGAGTTTAGTGCAACATAGAGTTAATTTAAATTAATTTTAATCGCAGCCTATATGAAGGGATCCAAAGTAAGCTCTGAAATAAATTTTCTCTAGTAATGCCGGTACTAGAAAGAAAGTAAAAAGACGAGATGTCCGTTTACCGAAAAGATGACATGGCTCCAACTTTCCCCAGAAACTTCTAAAAATGCATCTTTCCCATTGCAGAGTGCTGAACGAGCACAGTCCTTGACTTATCACCACACCACCACAGGCGGGTTTGCATCTGTCGGGATCCGAGACAGAACCCGTCCATGAAGGGGGACAAAACTCCTGAAAGCCTTGACCCTAAAAAGACCCCTTCCGATCCTAAAAAGACCCCTTCTCGTCCTAAAAACAACATTCACTTGGTTCTTGGCTAGAAACACTTCAGCATTTTCCCAAGCACCAACTGCACCAGGCTGCTCATCGCTCCCAGTACGTTCCCGTGCGCCTGCTGAGCTCAGAGCAAGGTCCCCCCTGCCTGACCCAGGAGTGATTCTGGCTATCGCCAGCCTGCCTACAGGTTAAAAGTCTTCCCCCCCAAAAAATCAAGTTGTGCATTAACTTCTCCCCTGTAACCGAGGTCTGGAAGCTGCTGCTCCCGCCCTGCCGGCACCCA